TTTTGAGATATGATATATATCCAAAAATAGGCTTAAATGAGCCGAACATCACAAATGGAGGGGGGCTGGAGTTACTGAGCAGCAAGCATTAATCGTCAGGGAGATCAGATCAATCCACCCATGTTTATGGGGCAAGTGAGGGCTCAAACAACAAGTCTTACAAACGTATGTAGTCCATCTGCCATGCGTATTTCAGAAGGCAGACTGTTCCCTATTAATTCATACTTAATGAGGAAGAGGTTTTCCCGAGTTCTTGTTTTGTATTTCTCAACTTTGACCGTGGATACTTTGTCTCGAAGGTCGTATTCATGTGAGTGTTGGTCAAGAACTATATTACATGTGGAATAACTAAGGTTTTTGAGGAGTTTGAAATAGGGAATCAAATTGTACCTAAGCCTTTTTTTCCAAAGGGGTTCTAGTCCTAAGATATGGGATCGGGAACTTTAGTCAATGAGTGGATCGTTCCTAATTATTTTGCGTGTGACGAAAAATTTCTGGCGTAAGTTTATGTAGGTTCTCTGAATCGCTAGATTATTTTCCTTATTGCGTAGGTTGTGGGATGATATCTTTCAATTTGAAGGGTTGGATAGCGAAGAATAATAAATATTGTTTATAAACAGGTGTAAATCTATGTGGTCTTCGTTATAAGTACTACTCTAATAATAGATCTTATCCTAAAATTATAGATTTATCATGATATTACTACCTAGTCCATAAGATCTAACGTGGAAGTCACGCCATTGTCTACCCTGATCCATCGTATTGTAACAATCATCAATATATGATGAAGAACACGTTTAGACTGAATATAGGGAAATATATTTAATATGGGTAAGAGATATAGGACAACGCTCAAAAATGACTATATCTGCAAGGCCAAGCCATGCCATTCGATGAATTCAATTTCGAATTAAGTGCTACCGCGTCCACCTTCCCTTAGTGTTATATGTTGAAATTCTGTTTTCTCAGTCATCTCATGTTCCGCTTTGAGGGTTGTGGTTAGGATCCAATGCCACTACAACACTACTTACATTGAGGTTACTTTCTTCTGAGTTTCGAACTTTAAGAAATTTTGCTGGAGTTTGGTTCTCTGAGCTCAGAGAACAAAACTCCACCAAAATCATTCACCTGAGCTACAAATCTTCTCCACCATCTCCAACTTTAAGAAAGTCAGAAGATTTTATCGGTGGTAGCATATTTGTAAAGCCATAGGTCCTTTTAGAATTGGACTTAATTTAATGACCTTTAGGATTATCATGTTTTCGAAAGTTTGATGCTAATGATCTGTAACTAGCTCTTCCTACTCTTGGCTGGCATGGTGTTCTATTTGTAAAAATCTTAATATCCTTGAAAACATGTTTTCGTTTAAACATATCGGGGAAATTTAGAGGCTTACTGGCTTCTACAGACAAGTTGAACTTGAACAAGATCAGTGAGTGCATACCAGGGTGGCTTCTTTTTAATTTTGTCTATCCATGTAGTACTTGTGTCATATTGCTGGCTCTAAGCAGATCAGACTTGATATTCTTAAGGGCATATGTGTCCCGTGTATGAAGCACAATTGTGTAGACGGGTCGTCTTATTCTTTCAAATACCTCCGAAACAACATGATCTAAAAAACCTTTTGTGTCATCCATCTGACCTGGAGTCTCTGTGACGTTGGGGTTGATGAGATACTTAAGCGGATTGAGAATTTACAAGTCAACTTGCAATTTTCTTACATCATCCATATGGTCGCCGTTGTGGTTATCATCATTGTTTAACAATAGAATCTTTAACATGTTTGAAATGGCAAGAACTGGCACAAGCTTGTATGCTTCCGGATGGACGGAGTAGCTCGTCTCGTTGCAACTTTTGGAAATGTTGTCCGTAGTAGTGTTAGATAGTGTCGTTTTCTGTAAGTCTTCACGATTGGTACTGACCCCATTAGTTTTACCAGATACACTAGCTGAACGCACTCGGTCACGCATTCTTACCAGATTATGAGTGCGTGTGCCAAGCTAAACATCCCTTACAACAACTATCCAGTTCGGCCAAAACGTTTATCGGCATACCGACAGCTTTTCAAATACGTATTTTAAATCCTTCATTTCCGGTTTCTGATTTCAACAAACGGCATCGTTATATTACAAAGTTTTTGTGTTTTACGACGTTATCAAGCTCAGAATACATGTGACATCTTTAGTGGTGATCCTGATGTGATCTTGTACACCTGACACTTTACAATATCACTACGTTTTTGGCTATCAGTGATATTCTGTGGTTGCAAGCTTGAATAGAAACAAGGAATTCATTCAACTTACATTTAAAACCGACAATTGTAGCAACCAGTGAGGTTGCATTCCAAGTATTTTACATAGATTCACTGTGATATAACATACATCGTCATCGCTAATATATATGCTGATTCGTTACGCTAGCTCATAAATATGATGTTCAAGGCTCCATTTGTTTACAAAATAGGGTAGCCACGAAAAGAGACGTATTTTATTCATTGGTCTGTATATAAGGTTCCTGAGTTATCGAGTTAATCTGCTTGTAGCAATTTAGGAGTTACTGCCGGTCACAAGCCCACACAAGATATGAGGGTTGGACATGGGATCAGAAACTCCATCCTGTAGAAAACAATCTCACTATTAACTCTAACCAGATTCAACAAATTAAGCAAATAAAACTCTGTCCTCCGAGTTGATGGAAGAATGATGACGCCTCATGATGAAAGTCAGGAGTCTTCGGAAGTCACGATGCCGATCCCTTTTCTAACAACCAGAATAGCAATTTTTATAGATACATGGAACGTCCGAATAAAGTGAGAGACCGGGAAGATTGATCAAGTAGCAACTAAAATGAGGCGATGTGACTTGCTGGTTGCCGGAATCAGCTGGATCTACTAAACCTAAACTGAACACCAGAGTCTAAATCCGGGAGACTTGCTTCTGTACTCCGACTACGAAGAGAAAAATGAACTTCACACGCATAAAGTTGTCCTGATGCTGCCTAAAGAAGCACGAATCTCATGGAACCAGGATCATTAAAGCATACCTCAGAACAAAGAAGGAGAGGGTACAATGAATTTTATGCAATGTTACTTACACACCAATGCTAGCAATCTACAGGAGATTTCAGTCGATCACATCGAAGTTCACACGAAAAGAATTGATCATCCTGGTGCGAGATCTGAACACCAGAGATGGAATGGACAACATCGGATATGAAGATATCATTGGCCGACATGGACTGATAGAAAAACGAGATTGCGGAGAGATTTGCGAATTCGCGTGCAAAAATGGTTATAAATAGCACTATGTTCACACACAAACGCATATTCAAAGATACATGAGTTACACCGGCCCACCCCACGGATAACCAAATAGATCATATATATATATGAAAGCTTCTCGATCAAACCGTCCAGCTCAGAGAACAAAGCTCTGTCAAAATTACCAACTCGGGCTACAAATCTTTTCCATCATTTTAGATCAAACGTTCCCTTACCCCGACGACAGAATGTCTGTGTAGAGTTCCCTGGAATTCAGTAATCTTTATATTAGTAGTTTGTTTCCAAATAACAATCTAACTGAAACCTCTTCTTTTTAAACTTATACAAAAACCTTCCTCAGATGGAACCATCTGACTTGTTGCTTTTTGTCGTTAATGTCAAGTTTTGAAGAAAAGTTGGCAACCAGGATGACAAGCTGGCACTTCATGAGAATTTGATTCGATTTTGAAGCTGTGCATCTAACAACGGACTCACTGTCATCACTTTAGATTGTCAAGTAGTCCATTTAAGACATATTACAGATCAAGCATACAATTTACGTAATTCTCCTCCAATGGAATCCGAAGTTGAAAAACATATAAGTGTATTGGTATCATACCTTCTAAACAATGCATTTCGGACAAACTTAGCGCCAATAACGTCGGCACCCATTTTTTAGACAGTTTGACAGCAGAAAGATCCACCTAACCTTTGACAATTTTACTCAGTCCTGTGTAGAGTATGGAAATATAGCTTTTCCTTTCTCATTCCAAGAGGAGAAGAATAAACTGTGAAGATTCCACAGGTATTTGGAGTTTCACAATGCTTTAACCAGTAACATCTAATACGAATCTTACCCAACAAGTGAAATCAAAATACAGAAGCGAGGAGGTTCGGAGATATATTTTCTAGGCTATCAACATATCGTGGATCGACTGATCTAATCTGACTAGCGATTGCAGGGGATGTTGAGTATGGCATACCCACTCATGATCTGGTGCAGTTGCACGACCAAGCGCCCACAGCTAAGTGAGTCCAATAAAAATAATGTGGTCAAAAACGAATGTCCAAGAATTAATTATTTATTTTGGGGATTTATTTACCGCTACAACTGGTACGTACCTGAAGGCCAGTTGGAAATCAATTTGTGGACTCAAACTTAAACCATACAAAAGGCGTCTGAGATCGAAAAATCTTTGCCCACTGGGGTAAAGGCGTTTCACAGATGACCTTCTAATGACTTCTAGTATCCCAAAAACCCACTGGCACCCAATGATTACGTAAGCTCAGTTGTGAAGCTTTGAAGTAACACCCAGAAATTAGAGACAAAACAGCAGAATGAGCCGTGACCAGACCTACGCCTTACGAGGTACGGACTCCTAAAACATGACTCTTGAGGCGGGCGAAGGGATTTTTCAGGAGTCTTTTGAGAGGAAATTAGATATTTTATCAGGACTCCGTACAGAATTTCGCAACAATTTACCGATATCTCTCATTTTGTCAATTGTGCATAGATTCCCGACATAAATTGCTGCTAGACATGGAAGCTCTTTAAGTAAAAACTTCTTAAATCCGTCCACAACTATTTGAATCGTCCCATGATATTTTTCATGAGACGCCAAACACGCTAAGTTCAAACAGTTCTCGAGATATGATTTCACTGACTTTTAGAACAAAATATAACAAACATCTTTTGCTTATTCAGTTTAATACCATGTTTCGTTGCGCACAAATGAATTTCCTCCCTCGCATGTGATTGGTGGTTGAATGACCTGTGTGGTCGCGCTGCTGAAAAAGCACGTTTCTGCTGTTTGACCTTCAAAATTGCCCATCATAACTTTTCGGGAGTATTATTGACTGATTGGTATGTCCGCTCTTTTAGAGGATATTTTCGACGTAAAAGATGTTGATAAAGATGGAAAAAAGTTTGACAAAGTATCAAGATTGTTTTGTGAAAGTGAATCATTTAAGATGGGATTGATTTTGGATATTCATGCTCTAATATATGGTCTTTCAAAGGGTGACAAGTTTCGAATGGTGCTTACCAAAACGTTGTTGAATGAACTGGGGACGGATGCTGATGACGATGATGAAGACGATGCAGCAGATGAAACTGATGAGAAGCTAGCAAACAGTAAGATGGCAGAGTTCGATTATGTATGTTACGGGAAGATTTATCGGATAGAAACCCAAGATAGTGGAGTTGACTCCAGTAGATTGTCATGTTATGTATCTTTTGGTGGATTACTCATGCAACTAACAGGAGATGCTAGCAATTTGCAAGGTTTCCGTGTTGGAAAACATTTGTATTTAATGATAAAGAAGTTGGCATTTTGAATTCATAATTGTCTTTTCACGTGTACATAAACCATCAAATCTCTCATCCGTTGGAAAAACAATCAAAAACCTAATATTTATATTCAAAGATTTCTCTTGCCGTATTTTTCAACTATACTTAAATTTGAGTTATTTATTAGCTGTTGTGTGTTGTTTACCTTGAGGACTAATTATCCCCTTAGATTTAAGCAAAAAAGCAGTGTTTCTGCATCTTGGGTAGCCAGGCTCGCAATATTCATTCATTATTGGATGTGTTAGCCTATTGCTAATTCGCTGCTGGGGTAGTATGATTGAAAGCTTGCGTATAAACATCTGAGATAAAGAACAAGTAAAAACAAGTCATTTACTTAGCGATAATATAAAACGGGTTTGTATTGAATAGTGAGACCAACAGTACTCCGCGTTACATTTATAGTAATCCAAGCCGACCTGACAGTCGAGGCTAAAATTTTACATCTTGACTAGTTTAAGTATTTAGTATTTTGTTATGATCGGGCACATAACTACACCTCAATCTCCATTAAACAAACTACTAGAAATCCTCTGGATTCGAGATGACTATTTTTATGCAGTGATAAATCGAACTGAAACGGTGAACATGAGTCTTGAGCGATAATGTTCTCAATACATACCCAGTCATTTGCCTTCCCAAACACACAACCGTTAGAACTAATAGTAGGACAAAGACCTCGTCAATTAGATGCTCTTGACAGTGCTTGTCTGTTGAGCTACATGGCTCAATTGCGGAGTCTTCGTTGGTGTTTTGGACCACACCAGAGTCTGTTTCATACATAGACGCAGTCCCCCTAAAACCAATATCCTCTAATCTCCATGGGGCTCGATACACCACTCTTATCCCAGTCAATATCCAAAGAGCTAAATCAAAAATCAAGCCTGACTTTCAGGTGGTATCACTACTTTAATCTTGTTTAGTCGCGCTAACTTAGGTTAGGTGTTTCTTTTTTGGCCGTCTACTCGTCAAGAGTATTAGAAGTTAGTACCAAAAGCTTAGCTTCAAGTACAGTAAAGACTGCGACCCCAGATTAGAGTGCAAAAGGTAGTGTGCTTCATCAACGTGTACTAATAGTTTGTTGATGGAACTTGTAGTTTTACATTAAGGTCGTCTACCACCGTTCATGCGGATGTGGGCTCTAATTTTCAAACGGAATATCATTTCTCTATACCATGTTCACACATTTTAATGATTCTCAATAGGCGCAAAGCCCAAGAACTGGAGACTGCAGATTACCAAGCTTCTAATTGTGATTTCGTACTACTTGATAATCACAGGGAATTAGATCGATAAAATCTGATTATTACCCGACTAGATGGTATAATACATTGGTCGGTTAGCATTTACGGTCCTTACCATTAGATGAAAAGGTTAGTTGATAACAGAATTAAATCGATACTGAGTAGGTTGCTTATGTGCGTTTACTAGGTTCATCCGGAGACTACAGCTTGAAAGATCTAACGATACCCCTTGCTTCAAGATCCTGTGATATTTCAAAGGTTTCATATCATGAAAAAAATTGTTTGCATCTATATGTTCGAAAAGAAACTGATGAAACCCGTCAAATACAAATTTGTATATTCGGCTTTGAACCTTGATGCATGTGACGGTTAGTAATGCTACCTAGCCGTCCAGACCGAAGAAGTCAAACTTGTTGTCTAATGGTTAAAAGTCGCACGTCTTGGCCATCGCTATAATAAGAAAATGAATGGCACTGAACACAAAATACCAATTTTGTGGACTCGTGCGATGGAGATATGCGGAATGTAAAACAGTCTTCGACTGCTCTTGTACAGTTGTCTTCTGTATAGTTACTGGCAGTAGGGACATTCAAACAACACTTTGTTAAGCATTTGATGAGCCATTATGAAGTTGAACTTGCAGTTGGTTCAATACCTCGAGCGAGACCCTTTTTGTGTGAGTCCAAATGATTGAAATGAGTACCAAAAAACAGCCCCTCTCATGTTAGTTTTCATAGTTGACTTGAGCAATACTCCAACTTATGTGCTACTTAATAATTCGACAGTGGTATTGCTCTTCAAATATGACCCAACTAACAAATAACTTAGAAAATGATTCACTTTCATGCGATGGTTCTTTCTTGAAAGATTCTGGTCAGTATTTTTGTAGAAAATTGTTATCTCCGCCCTAACAATGAATTTAGGATAAGAAACGAAGTGTCGATCAGTAAAGCTACATACTTTACAGCCTTCAGTTTCCAAAGGAAGACGTACAGACAAATAAGAACAGCGATGAAATAATCTCAACCGTGATAAATATAATTGTAAATAGTTGGAAGAGCCATAATATTACGAACACATTTAGTTCTAGATGTGTAAAGGACCAAGTGCTTCAAATAAAATTTGGATATGAAGTTCTAGATATTAATATTGACAGGAATTACATACTTACACCGATATTTAGTTTTTAAGTTCCTCCATCCTGTGTTGAATAAACTAGGTTCATTTATACATTTAGGAAGTGGAACAAATAAGTAAACTAATCAAAAACACTAGAGTAATGGGCAAGGTAAATAAATGGCTACATTAACTTGATGAAACTGCCATAAGGACTAGTAAGTAATTGCAACAATGGTAAGCGTGATAACAGCTAGCGTACTTAGAATAACCAATGATGTAGAACTGCAGCTACAATTTAGAGAAACAATGCCACTATCCTAGAAGTAATTATTTTTTGCTTAGAAATGTCGGCTCACGGGTCCCTTTAAGGAACAGATGGTCATTCATCTTAAACGTAGAACCTGGCGCAGATATACACTGTCGGAAGTTGCCATATCTCATTAGTAAGGTAAGAGGAAATTATAAAGATGTTAACCAAAGTAGCAAAAGTATCAGTGATGGTAAGAAGAAATAATGTATAGAGAATATAACTGCAAAATAAGAAATTAGTCCGCGAAATAAAAGAATTCCAAAACTGTGTAAGGAAAGACAAAGAGTGGGTGTACCTACACTTTTTTACTCAACATACATAGCTACTAGTTACAACAACGCCGCGGATACCAGCTATACTGCAATATAGCTCAGCTCCATAGTTATCCCTCAAAATAGGATGTAGTGAAAACCACATCTGTGTAATACCAAGCATTGTGGCAAAAGTTTGTTACGCAACACTAACGAGCACCCGAGGAAGTTTCTCCGGATCAATACCATTTACTGCGAAGTAAAATGTGATTGGTTTGACCACGAAGTAGCAAGTAGAAGAGGTTGTTTTCCTGAATGTTCGCCAACTAGAGTGGTTGAAGCCAAAGTTGTGGGTAGTTACTAACTGCTTAAACCACTTTTAGTTCACTTCGTACATGTTTACAATTGGAAACGCTCGAGGCAAACTTCTTAGGCACTCAGGTGATTGGTGCCAAATTAATGTAGCAAAAGTAAAATATTTGTGAAGTTGTAGCTGTACATTAACAGAATTCGGTAAACGAAAAGGATCAAAAATACCATTTCTTGAGCAGCACATAATCAAAACAAACCCTCTGAGACATAAATAGGAATTTGAAAAAAAACTATACATATCACTGAAGAGATGTTTCTTGAAATAAGTTGATATCAAAAAAAATTTAGAAAGCTGTGAGAACCAACTTCAACGGGTATTTGTTACTTATCAGAAATTCAAAAATAAACCCGCAAAACAGTGACTTAATACATCTAAAAATCATTTTAAACTCATTGTGGACGTTTTCTGAAAGGTAGTAAGAAATATCCAACATCATTTGTCGTGATGGAATGAATAAAAGTTCAAACTCGGGATACAGAAAGTGATACTATAAAGGTAGTACACGTGAGAATTCTTGCTATGAAACAGCAGCGATATGTTTATACACGGAACACCACTAATGTTAACATTAGTAATCAAAATGTGCAGCGATGAAAAGACTTATTGTAATGAGAAGTACTGAAAACACAATTTTCACCACGAAGTTTTCTTGTACTTCTATTCTGAGACATAGAGTGTCGTCAATACATAGCCATCGAACTGGACAGTAGGTTACTATTCACGAACCAAAAAAATAATTCCAATGCTCAAGCAAAGCATCCCAGCAAACCAATTCGCAGTCAGTTCTTCTTGGAAAATACACCTGCCAAAAGCTGCCTGTACAGTTACGAGATACACGTTTATAATGACTTACTGAAAACGCAAAATTCGACAGCGTGTTTGTTGCCAACACCGCAACACCTTTTTGACCCATGCCAAGTGCTGTGACAAGAGCCAGCCACATTATGACATTCAGAACAACAGCACCACCGTAGCTTAAAACGACGAGAAAATTCTTATTCGCATCTGGGAAACACTCCAGCAATTTGTTTAACATGTAACCCTCGCTTAATAACTTGCTATATAGACTGGTGCACGCTGCACAAAATCCAGACATAACTGCCAGCGGGTATCCCATCTTATTAGAAATCATTTGTCAGATAACACAGTTAATTATTTGAAGAAAATAGTCTACAAAGAGATACATTAGATAAGTTTATTCGTGATCAGAAACAATCAATAGTAATAAGTTCAGACTGGTAAAAGTTTTACGCATATGAAAGAGCTTACCAATAACCTGAGGAACGAGCTATCTGATATAGCCACTATGTGAGTGGTAATTTGCTTGTTCTTGAAGAGTTGCAAATATCGTTTCCTTCAAGAGGATTTAAGAACATTTATCTGCATGATTGTAAACATATAGCAACTTAATGATACACTTTCCGAATATGGGTCATCAAATCGAAAGACGTTCTATTCAGACGTATAAAAATTGGGCAGAAATTAACCATTGAGAATTTACGTCGGTCTTCTTTGCATTCCAGAAGTTCTTGCCTTTCCTAAGGAGAAGTTTCTTTTCAGCATAGTCGCAACCTCTTGTGTTTTCAAACCATCACCTTCCATCCACTCTGTGGATTTCTTACCCCAAACGGAATAATATTCGCTTGCATGTTTTTCCTGAATCCAATTCGTCTTTAAAATTTAACTTATTTTATACAACCAACTTTCATAATTACTGATCCACACAAGTTTCTTATAGCATACTTAATTAACTTCCAAATCTTAAAAGCAACTCTTGTCGGAAAAGTAACTACGTAACTCATAAATTTAGTTGTTTATTAGCAAAAACAGTTAATCTACTAACATTGTAAATTATATACATGCATAAGAGTATCGATTAACCAATATCAACTACAGTCAGTCGTGCATAATACTGCAGTTTTGGAATCAGTTGTGCACTTGTTGTTGGTGCATAAGTAAATCTTCATTTGTATTCTTGTTTTCTTCCCTGCATTGAGTGGTACCAGTCCTTGTTTCTTTGTGATAAGTAGCAGTTTTACAACAGTCAAACAAATAACTACACCAATAACATACCACTACCTTTGCTATACACAACAACTATATTTTTAGACTTTTAATAAGGATATACTTTTTATGCTTTTATTTTCATTTCTTTGTTACTACGTCCAATAAATTTTTACTATTAACCAGTCTACTGCTACCTAACTTTACCCAATAAAGAGCATAAATATAATGGCTACCATCTGTCAGATACAAAAACAAATCAAGAAATTCATAACTCACGCTATTAGTTAATACAAAGTAAATCCATTCATTAAGTACTACTGTAATGGACAGAACACGGGTGGGGACAACCGAATGTATTTAACACAAAATTACAGGACTTGTTAATAAAGTCTAACAGTCATAAAGTAAATGTTTAATTTGCAAAATGTCCATCGATTGTCTCAAAATGACTCAGACTTCATTGTTCTTGCATTTTCATATAAATTGCTGCCTGTTTCCACTCTTTACTGTTCGATCCTCTTGTCTCTCTGCTGCCAGACCTTCTGTTCACGACTAACACCATTTACTACTTATGTCAGTCTAAGTAGCACACACCACAGTAGATGCTGTCGCAGATCACTGGAATACTATATATGATTGTGTAGTTGTTATAGCTACACTCTGTTACCAAGTAAGTTAGGCAACCCAGCCGCTACAAATGACATTCAGAAGGTAGACTACGAGTCAGACAGTCAATAACCCCTTACATTCAAAGCTGAAAACGGCACTCCGTCTAGTTTAATAAATGCTACCTCTACTAAGAGGACATTGTCTTCAGGCTGACCGGATACGGAAAAAAATTAAGACTGACAAGAATTCTGGAAGACTCGCGGATCAAAGTCTAATATGTTCCAAGAGCAGAGTTATATGTGTGTTGATAGACTAATTTATTTATTTGAACACAAATATTGGTACAAGGGGGCACCAAATATATATGCGCCACACAAAACAATGAGAATGGTAAGAGGAAAAAGGAAAGTAAAGAGTGTAAAAGAAAAGAAACAATAACGACCAGATTAGTGTAAGGTAGTGTAATAATAATAATGGTGGGGGGAACAGAAAGGTACAATCAGAAGAAATCTTTCAGTTAAGGAAGATACGACCACTTTTTACGAAGAAAGTAAAAGAACGTTACAGCAGGATCGCCACTGGCTTTCATTCTGAGCCATATCTGATAACGTCTCTAGCCACTGTGTAGCACCATCTCTCGGACTCCAACCAGGGAGTCGTGAAGGACCGACATAAGCCAGTCCTTTGCAGCTTTCTTTCATACCACCACACCATGTCATACACTAACCACCTCTCCGCTTCTTTCAAACAGCCTCAGAGTCGGCAAATAATGCACGACGTGGAATTCTCTGGGACGACATTCGTAGAACATGTCTAAGCCACCGAAGTCGGTGTTTCCAGATGGTGACATCGATTGCATTATCATCTCTGTGCCCGAACACACGATGCCGAACCTCTACATTACTGACATGGTGTTGCCACTGGATGTCGGCAATCCTTCGGAGACAACCATGATCGAACACAGAGGGTCGTCTAACATCCTCAACTCGAAGAGGCCAGGTTTCACAAGCATAGAGCAAAACTGCTCTCACCGACGCGTTGTAGATCCGACCTTTTACAGTCAGACTAACATCACGAAGGCGCCAAAGATGGCCCAGATTGGCATAAGCCGCTCTGGCTTTCACTATACGTGCATTGATCTCATCACTCACGCCACCACCAGCACTTATGTAGCTACCCAGATACACGAACTTCTCGACTACTTCTATCTGATCACCATTCAGAGTGAGTACAGGATTAGAATCCTGCCAGTCTTGTAGAAGTACTTTGCACTTCGAAGGTGCAAAGCACATACCATACCTATGGACACTGATTGCCAACTGATTAAGTGCGGATTGCATGGCTTGGGCGTTATCGCACAGCAAGACAATATCATCTGCATACTCAAGATCGACAAGTCTTTCTCCAGGCAACAGACCCACATCGCCATTACTTACATCCATCAGAGCTGTTTCCAGAATGTCATCGATGGCAAAGTTGAAGAGGAATGGTGAGATTGGGCAACCCTGCCTAACCCCACTGCTTGAATAGAACAATGGAGAAAGGTGGTTGTATGCCCTCACTCTGCCTGAGGTGTTTGTATATAGGGCTTTTAGGATGTTAATAGACTTCTTAGACACACCCATCTTCAATAGACAATCCCAGAGAACAGTCCTGTCCAACGAATCGAAGGCAGCCCTGATGTCATGAAACACTATGATTGTTGGCCTTTGATAAGTATGGCGGTGTTCTAACATTTGGCGGAGGGTGAAGATATGATCAATACATCCTCGACCAGAACGAAACCCAGCCTGCTCCTCGCGAGTCAATCTTTTTCGGGTTTTGAACAACCTACGAAGTATGACGGGAGCCAATAGCTTGGACGCAATCGGAAGTAGACTTATCCCCCGATAGTTGTTACAGGAACAACGTGAACCCTTTCTAAAGATAGGGACAACTATCGGCTCATTCCATGATGTCGGTACACTCTCTAGTTCCCTGACCTTTGTAAACTACGTCGTCAGTTCCTTAGTCTCTGGCTAGTAATACAATATCTGTCGAACACACTTTCTGCAGAAGAACAGATAACTGGTTGTAAAACTCATCCTTGATTGCATCCGGGCTGCAATTTGTTGGGGCATAGACGGAGATGACGAAAAGACATCGTTTTTCACGCCGATTTCTTCTCACTTTGATGGAACTTTCTAATCGAACAGCACATAACCGACTATTAATGGGGATCCAATAGATTAGTGCTGCCTCAGCTCTAGCGCTTGGTGCGACACCAACGCCAGCAAGACCAAACGAAGATGCCTCAAAGTCCACGGATAAACGCACGTAAAATAAGCTTTTTGAAGCGACAGATGGAGAGCGAATTTGTAGTTCTTCACCAGAGTAACATACAATTTTCAACCGGACAGTGACTCGAGAACGTTTACATATAGATATAGAGAGTTCATCATTTGCGTGTGGTCAGTCAGTAACAACGTAGAAATTTGTACGTACGAACATCAGTTCGAGTTGCCACACCACATTAGCACAGAGAGTCAGTGGTCGATTCAAACCCCTTAGTGGTAGAGGTAATAAGAGTATAAGCAGTAATCGGAAAGATTAGTGTTTGGAGATGTTACTTAAAGAGTTAAATACAGTGAAATAAATTTAGGAAGAGAGAAAAAGGACAAGGAGGAATCAGGAGATCAAAATTTGGGAGAACACAAAGAGTGGATGCACCTGCGCCATTGCAAACGATTTTGAGCCATGTCATTCAAAGTCTCTAACCATCGGTTGCTATCATCTCGCGGTCCCCAACCACGTAGTTTACACCTACCGACATGACTCACTCCACTTGTTAGTGACTTCATGAATTTGTCCCACGTTTAGATTTGACCGCCCCTAGCTTTCTGCCAACCTACTCCTACATCATAAAATATGGCACGTCGGTGGTTGGGCATACGTAACACGTGTCACAGCCATCTCAACTAAAGAAGTCTCACTACATCATCAATTGATTTGTCATCCTTACCTATTACCCGTTTCCTAACAACTGCATCACTTACTCGATGGTCCCAGGATATACGAGCAATATTTTTAAGACACCTATGATCGAATACTAGTAACCTACGAATATCCTCTACTCTTATCGACCATGTTTCACTGCCATAGAGTAGGACGGAACGAACTGCTGCGCAGTAAACCCATCGTTTGGTTGATAGACGGATATCTCGCCTAATCCATAAATGATGCAAGTTGGTAAAAGCTAGTCGAGCCTTCTGTATCCGTGCTGAGATTTCGTCACACACCGAAGCACGAGAGCTGATGAGACTTCCAAGATAAGTGAAGCGATCGACACGCTCAATTACTTCACTCCCTATCATCAGTTCGGATGTCAATGCAACCCAATCCTGAAGTAACATTTTGCATTTCGAGGGGGAGAATCGCATCCCGAACATGCTTGCATTGTTGCTTAGAGTGGTCAGAAGACTCTGCATTTTGTCAGCGTCTTCGCCAAATAAAACTATGTCATCAGCATATTCTAAGTCAACAAGTGAACATCCCAGTAGAAGTTCAACCCCTTTAAATTTAAACGAGGAAAGTGTAATCTCTAAAAGTACGTCGACGACAAAGTTGAAGAAGAATGGAGAGAGTGGACAGCCCTGACGAACACCACTTGAGGTAATCAATTCTGATGACAGTCCGCCATAAGCTCTCACTCTACCAGTTGTGTTCGAGTAGAGAGCCTTTATAAGGTTAATGTACTTCTTTGGTACTCCTTTCAGTGACAAACACTGCCGTAGAACCTCACGATCAACAGAGTCGAATGCTGCCTTAAGGTCGAGAAATACTACCATTGTGGGGCGTCTGTGTTCTAGAACCTGACGTAGTGTGAATATCTGATCTATACAACCACGTTCAGGTCGAAAACCAGCTTGGTTTTCTACAGTCTGCTCTTCACGAGCTTTAGTTAGGCGTCGAAGTATTATTGAAGCTAATATTTTAGACACTATATTAGTCAAAATGACTCCTCTTCGATTGTCACAAGAGGACTTTTGTCCTTCCTTATAGACTGGCACAACCAATGATTGAGACCAGTTAGATGGGATTGCGTCCAGTTCCCAAATCCTACCTAAGACCTCAGTTAATCTCACTGATAATACTGAACCACCATCCTTAAAAATCTCATGAGTAAACCGGTCAGGGCCTGCCACTCTCCCTCGTTTCAGATTTCCTATGGCTTTTTCAACTTCGTAAAGGGACGGAGGACTTACATTAACTTGCCATTCAGGTTGACTGGAGATCGTGGGAAACCGAGGTGTGGCTGAAGGCCAGTTGAACTAATCCCTAAAGTGTTCTGCCGATCGATCCAATCTCCTGGATCGAGAGTGAACAATCTGCCCATCTTTCACTGAGATTGTTTCTTTAACAGCCGGATTCCTAATACCGGTTTCCCTAGCAAGTCTGAAGAATTGTCTATTATTACTTATTGCGGTCGCCTTTTCAATCTCTTTCTTTCGCTAACCACCATTGTTCACGATCATTGTGTGGGCTTCTTGTCAGC